TAAGTTAAGTTTTCCATACAGTTCTTCTTTATCTGTAAACAAGGAGGACTATTTCAAGTCATTGGCAATGCAAAATTCAACATTGTATCATAGAAAACTCTACGTTTTCTTAAGAACGTTTTCAAAGTCAACAATGCTTCTATTCGCCACCGTAGACGATGAAAAATTTTGACTTTTCTACAAAAATTTTGATGATAACCTCTATGATATATCACTTATTGATCTCTTTATCGGAAAAAATCATTTGTCGATAGAATTTATTTTTGTTTGACTTTATGGAACTCATTGTTTATTGCCTACACTACGCATATTTGAAGCTGAAAACATATTAAAAGGTTAAACGAAATTAATATTTTTCCGATCAGCGTGATACACAATCAATAAAAAAATATTTATGAATTTTGATTAAAAAAACCTAACACATCAAAAAAATTAGACAAGAATATCATGTGAGATATATAGGGTGTCCAGAAAGTCAATATCCAAATTTATTCATTTATGAATAATGCTTGCATACATTTAAAACCAGCGAATATTTAATCACTATTTATCATCTGTAAACAGTTCTGCTATTGTGATTTTCTCTTAAAAACTAAATCACCTGCTAAGTTTGAACATTGTTGTGTACTGTTTGCATGATTTCTTGGACAATTTCTTTCATACTAGTTCTATTGCATTATACATCAGCTATACTGCGTAACAAATAAATAAAAGAGTATCCTGCAATTTAGGCCTGTAGCTATGACTAAAAAAAAACATTTGTGCATTGTTGAGTGATGTAGTGAACAAAATTTTGATAGTTTTATATAAATGAATGGACTGTTCATTGATGAATAAAATCATGAAACTGTTCTTTATCCTCAGAAAAAAAATCAGTTCATTTTATTGAAGGCTAGTAAAAAGATTCAAATTATTCATTAGCCAATAACTCTCTGAACACCCTATATAATATTATGTTTTGAATAAAATATATAAAATTTTAACAATATCTTGTTTTTGTGATATAACGCCTGCAAAACTATTTCTTCATCAGTTATCTTTTTTGAAAGCAAAACATTTCGAAAAATATGATGCATATGTTTTAATAATTGTCGTATTATTCATCCATCAAATTATCTATACAAGACGTTCGTTCGTCCCTTAAAGCATACATTTCTCGTTGAATATTCGTATGCACTCAAGTCCTCGAATATAACCATCGTTTCTTATACAATATAAGTGCTTAATCCAATTAATGCTGTCATCATTCATCGATTATCCTACAGAGGCGATACAGAAGAAAAATAACGAGAAATAATATGAATGTATTTCATTTGTATGTAAGTAAAACACGATATCATATCATTGTTAGTGAGTACCATCATTATTTTTTATAGCATGAGTAAAAAGTACAAGAAATGATATTGCGAAATATATAAATTGATAATCATTTCTTTTTTTTTTACTCAGATCATTTCTTTGAATTTAAATAACAAGTATGAAACAAATCTTAGTTTGCGGTATTTTCATTGCAATGGTTTGTATGCTAACATTAGCACGACCAAATTATGATAATGATGATTTCAATGTTGGTAAATAAAGGAAACAATTGTATGTATACTTATTGAAGAAGAATAATTATTATATTTAGACCATGAGATGGCAGTCGAGTTTCTAAAACGAACATTTTTTCATCCAGGAAAAACGAAATGTGAAGAACAAAAACGAGAAGCATCAGAAAAATATGAAGAACGTTGTGAACCAAGTATTAATAAATTAACTGGATCACGATATTGTAAGATTATACATTCAAATGAAAATTCTAGTCAATTTTTTTAATTTTCATTTCTTGACGATCTGTAGGTCCCGATATCAAAACATGGGATGCATTTAAAAATTATGAAGTGGGTGGTGGTTATGGTCGTTAGAAAGAAAAAACAAGACAACTTTTTTCTTCGTTTGAAATTCAATTGAACATCATTTTAATTTACTTTTACGTCTAATCAATAAATTTTTCTTGTTATTCTAGATTCTGAAAATATTGAGTGATTTCTTAAATGTATATTTTCTTATCCATCATTAGTTAAATATGAAGAACAAGAAGATTAGTTATGTGTCATGAAAAATCATTAATGAAATTTTATTTAATAATTGTCTTTTTGTAGTCAAAAATATTGTGAAATGTTTTGATCATGACACTGAAATCGTATAACATGCAAAAGTACGTTTGCATTCGGTCTTCACACTTTGTATGTTTTCTGCTGCAGTGGAATCTGTACTTTGTTTCGCAATGATCTAATGAGCGATAAGTTACTAGAAAATCGTTTGAACTTTGTCACCGAGATCAATGTCTCGAGATGATAGAAAAGTTTTTGAATTCGCAATATGAGTTTTCGTTCATCTTCAGTAAGTTTCATAAAAACGATAATTTGGCCTCTTTCTTTTATTCAAGATGATTAAGAGTAATGAGCTTGTCTCTAGTTAGTTGTTATGAGCAGGAACAAGATTGACTCTAGATAAAATCGTTGTCCGTGGTTAGTTAAGTCAAACCTCATTGCAGAAATTTGAGATCGCTTTGCACTACATTTATGCAGTCCTTTTCGAGTTTTCTTGCTTTTTTTGTACTTACTAGATGTACGCATTCAAAATTATCATTTTCGATCGCGATAATCTTGAAAATGAAAATTCAGAAAACACTGTGTAATACCTGATGACGAAATTTCATGATCGTATCTATAACATTTTATTTCCAATGCTCAATAGAACTTTCTATTCTCGTAGAAAAACCCACTTCAAAAGGTAAATTCTTTGTGGGCTTAGCTTCTTTTTTTTTTCCAAACTTCGTGATAATTTAAACAGTGACAAGTTCACCAAAGCTGTATGGACATCTGACAACAGATAATGAGTTACATAGACAATAAAGCACTAAACCCATAGCACTGTTTAAAAACATGTTGACAGAATTCTCATAGTAATGAATTTTGCCATATCTCCTTTATCATTTCTCTATACTTTGATCATTTGATTGATAGAAACATAGATAAAGCAAGTTTCCGGTCAAAATGACACGGAAGGAATTTGTTGCTGTGAATTGCAAATATCTCGGACGATAAACTGTCGTGTAATTAATCGTAGAACTGATTATTTGTTTTGTATGAGATATCGAGGATTCAGATGATCGATATTCACATAGCGTTGCACCGCATTTTTCAATAGTGTAGCATTTAAATGCCCTCTAGATGTCTAAAATCAAGAGAAGTAAAAGATCATGTTACCTTCAATTACAGACATTGTGAATGATGTAAGCAAAGATGTTAATCATATACATTTAAAGAAATCATATAATCAACAAAACAAAATATTGTTACCGCCAAATTCTCGTTCAATTAACAACCAAGTAGTGAGTGATTGTAGGATGCAGTTAGATTTATCCTAAGTAATCGTGTAATTCTCCCAATTATTGATTAATTTTTCATCTGTTACACAAGAAACTCATGAAGATATTAGACCCACCAACAAGTCACTTTTTTCTAGTCTGGCGTGCAGGTGTCTGCGAGTCAAACCATATCGATTGATGTTTCTGATTTTTCAAATACATTTAAGTGTATAGCTTTGTATTAATGTATGATTCTAGTTCCAGTTGTTCACTCGACAGTACCTTTTCTCTTCTTCATTAGTCATGTCTGATTCTTGAGGAGGATTAAGAGAATTTTCTTAGAAAGCATATTTTTCGATAGAACCACATCCTTGTACGTTACAACGGTCGTAAGACTTCATGTAATCCGACTGAGAATTTTTGTTTCAAGATAACTCGAACTATATTTTAGAGGTATTTTTGAGCATTTTCGAAAATCTAGTTTTATTTTTATGAGAAAAATATGTAAAAGTTCAAAATCAAAGTCAAGGTGTTGGTTTTGAGTACTCTATAAATTTCGATAGGAAAATCAAAAACAAAAATGGCTAGTTTTACTTCTGAAGGATACTATTAAGTGTCTCTGGTAAAAAGTCCAGCCCGATCAAACAAAATTAGAGAGAGATTGTAAGCAGCCAGGATTGAGAAAATGGTGTTTTGTGTTACACTAAGTGAAAGAGAAGAACCTCGATATGATTAATATGAAATAAAAATTTCTTAAATTTAGTAACCCTATAATCTTAGACTATTTAGAGTTGAATGATATCTTTAATTACACATGGTACTCAAGGTTATTGTACTTTATACTCATTTCAAGATAGACTTTTTGGTCAATAAAGCCGGAAGAGATATACTTAATTTATTTCCATAGAGACAAAACAATAACAAGTTCTTGCACGATAGAGCAAATTAAAAAAACAAAGAGACAATCATCATGAAAATTTTCCATACAAGCAAGAGTTGAATTAGTGCAATGTTTTTGATTATATCAATTCTATTTTGCATAATCAAAGACACATGACCAAGGTAGAAAAAAACCACATATGATTATGCATAGGACGAAGAAGTAAAAGAAAATATGGGACATAAGTGACATTTACCATAACAGACAAGAACATTTACAGTTGACAATCAATTTTTGCAGCAGCACGAACGCAAAACTTACTGTCTAATTGTTTTGGATCTAGGCAAATTTTTCTCTGTCAGTCAATGTTAGTCCTACAATATTAAATAGACGTTAGGCTTAAAGCATTTGTTGCTGGAAATGAATGAATTGATCAAATAATCGTTGAATAATAAGGCAACAAAAAAATTTTCATTCATTTACTTGTTATGCTATATGAAATTTGAATATATATTTTCTTATTTAATTATTAAAAAAATATAATCAACGAATAAACACATAGATCATTGCTATAAATAGGTTTTTGTTACCTCATTGAAAAATTTCATATGACAGTATTATTCAAGCATTTATATCAAATGAGTAAAAATATTAAAAAGTAATTTGTCTCTAAAAGAAATATAAACCATGAAAAGATATATATATATATCGGTTTATCATTGGACAATAGTATCAATGAAGGACTTATAGCAGATGATGAGTAATCATGGTCAAAACTAAATCAACTTAATCGATCAGTAGTTGTTAATGATAAAATAATTAAAAAACTCAATATGATTATGGTTACAATAAGTCATACATTCATTAATTTACTTTCATTAATATATATCAATCAGTTGCTAATATTATTCAAATTATGAAACTACGTTATTATCTATTATCTAGATATCTATAAAAATAAATAGAAATCAAGTTGTTTATACCTGTATGAGAAACTCTATCTATGTGAAGAGAGACATTTATACCTGTACAAAGGCTATGATTCAAGTTGTTAGAATAAAATAGATGAAATAGTCAGTAATCCAAAAATAATTTGGAAAAAATCTCAAATTTCATATCAATATGAAATGTAATCCTCACGTTAATGTAACCGAGCAGATGTTACCAACTCCTAGAGCAGTGGACTTTTCTTTATTGCACTATATGAACAACTATAAGCGTATGGATATCAGGAAAAAAATCCATAATAAGAAATATTTCAAAGGGGATAATGCACACAAAGGAACAGGATTCGTACAATATTAACCAGAGAAAAGAGAATAATCCACAAAAACAAGCAACCAAAAAGGACGAAGTTTGTTATATTTGATATATGAAAATAGATTATAGGTCACATAAGACAAAACAAAAATGCAGCGTACTAGCTTTTTTAAAGAACTACTTGTGAAAATATGTTGTTTGCATTTGAGTACTACAGAGACACATTTTTCAACCCGTACTCAACCCTAATAGAAATTATTTATCTATACTAGGACCCAAGAATGGGTAACCTACCCGCGGGCTACATAATTCTAACATACCGATGATTAGTTTAACAGAACGGTCAATTAATTGTGTTATCAACGATATTGCTAATAAATAGTATCATTAAAAACACATATTCCCAAATCTTGTATGCTTTATATTGATAAACAAAATGTTTATGTCTCCAGAAATGATTACTTTTCACATCCTTATCCAGGTACGAATACTTAATCCAGAGGTTGTAGTATCCTGATCTGTATGACTACTCGCTTAACATCTTACAAGTTTCTTCTATGTTTTTTTTGTATTTCGATTTAATTTATTTATACGAAATTATACTTTTTACTTATAAAAGTTATTTTTTCCGCTAATAAAATTTTTATTTTTTACTGATATACGGAGCGTCTAAACGATACAAATGAACCTTTCTATCATTTCATAAAAAAATTTCGGAATTTCCATTTCGTATGATTTCACTCATAATTGTCATTGCAAATGATCAACATTAAGTCTAAGACATGAAACCATTTGTTGGTATATATTGGCAGAGAAACATTGCATACAGCTGGCTCTGAGGTCATTGTGGTCTCATCATAGATTTTTGTTTATACATCAACAAAAATCTTTATACAAAGCCCAATACAAAATAACTTGTTGATAAATAAATGAGAGTTCATGATGAGATCACAATGATCTCAGACTAAGTTTTATGTCCTAGTTTTTTAGGTGTTAGAGTTCACGCCCGCGAAGAGCGACGAACACTGTTAAAAGCATATGGATCTTCTTCTCTCTGTTTATTCTTTGAAAAAACTAATGTTTATATACGAACATAAAAATAAGGACAAAAGTAGAATAGAATAGAAAGATTCATCAAGGACAAACAGGAGCAATAGAAACGAAATAACAGAAACGAAAATATCAAAGAAAAGAGAATAGATAGAATCGAGGTATATGTAGTTACAATACACTATAACACTAAGAATGTTCTAAAATACATGGCTTCATGTCTTAGAGTTGATGTTATTCATTAGAAATAACACGTTTGAGTGAACCTATATAAAGTAAAACTTCCAAGAATTTTTTTTTTGAAATGATGAAAGTTACATGTGAATCGCTTGAAATTATTTTAGTTTAATACTACGATTAATTTTTCGAATAACGCATTTTTTTAACTACCAATTATATATATATATATAACTGACCATTTCATCTATTTTGTCAACCACATATTATATTTCGCTTTATAAATATCAATGGAAATCAAGGAATACAAGTAACCCTAGTACAAGAAGAAAAACAAAGAATTTCGTTGAATTGCCAGAATTGATTAAATTTCTCAAATTCTTTGATTTCGAATATAATGTCGACAGTAACAATCAAGGCATGCGTCTTTGAGACAGTCAAGTCGAAGTCTATTGAATAACGACATTCGTTAAATTTGCTCAAATTCCTTAAATTTCTGAATGTCCATCACGAAATTGAATTTTGCTAGTGAGAAAGATGCTGTCACTTTTGCTAGAAAAGCAAAAAATTCAAAGAATTCGAAAAGACCTAGCAGCTCAATAGAACTTAATTCTTTCTCTTCTTTTGCTAGAACTACTTGACATTTAAAATGTTCTTAACAGTGACGTTGAAAGCGTTCTCTATTAAGATAACAAATTGTAATTCGATAGAATTGCTAGATTCATGTGAGCTCCTTTTCTCAGGCAATTCTGATTCGTGTTGACTTCAATGATTATGTAAAATTATATGAAAATATCAGGTTGTAGGAATCCTGAGTATATCTCATCAAAATTAGTTACTCATAGTGATGATGAAAAATGAAAATAAATTGTTTACTTTTTATTATATATCGTAGATAATAGATATATATCACTTCTAATCATTACATTATACCTCAAGATAGTTGTTCATCATATAATCATATCTATTGTTCAAGCAGTTCATCATCATCATCATCATTTGGTTCACCATTGGGCTTGACAAATATAAACAATAATAATGATGATACATCATCAATATATAATAAAAACGGCGGATAGTTCCAATAATAATCACAAGGGTTCTATATCAACAAGTAATATCAATACTACTTTACTATGAAATGATGAGAAACATGCTGCAGCTGGAAATAACTTTCAATATCATCAAGATTGCTCAATATTTAATCGTCTTTCATTACATAAATGAAATGCGATATATATATATATATATATATACACATACATTCATCTTTTTAAGATGATGCGCCATATGTCAATGATAAAAATATGGTGTTTTATTTTATTACAATTGATGGTTGTTAATAATCAACATATTTATACATCGATCGTAAGTTCAACGATGAGTTTCTTTAAATATCTTGTAGAAAATTAAAAATTTATTTTCTATGAATAACACTAGCTTTTGGTGTTTACTTAAAAATAGAACTGACAGAAAACTAACTTTGTTTTTCTCTAGTTTACCACAATGTCTACGTGACCAACATACTTTTCATTCTTAGATGATTTATGAGTACATAATGCCCTAAAGAAAAAAAAAGGAACATAGTTTGATATAATCAATCAGATTGATTTTTGTCTTTTGATCTTAAACTAATGAATACTTTCAATTCCTTTTTTTGCTTGCTTCTAGTAAATATAATGATAATGAAAGAAAATCTCTGTTGCTGTTTATCATAACGATCGACAGCTGTATTTACATGGCATATGTCTTGAATGTCTATCTATGCGTTCATTACTTATTCTTAGTAATACATGTAAGACTAAATTCAATTTTTATCCAATTATTATGGTATGTACATTACTCTTTTTTTTTTGTTCAGCTTATGTTTACATTTTTCTTTTATATTATTGTTATTGTTATTATTATAGATTGGCTGACTAAAAAGTCTCAAGTAAGACTATTATTTTAAAATTATATACAATCAAATAATTTTATCATAGTATAATAAATTTATTTGAGTGTAAGATAAAAAAAGACACTTCTTGTCAAAATATTCAATAAAACGACTTGTACATAGATGTTAGGATACATTTTTACATTATAATGGGTCAATATCAGTAAAGAAAAAATTTTCTCATCAATAACTTATCATATAGGTCATTGGCTAACAACTGTTGATGATGGGCATACTGCCTGATTGATATCTACGCGCGTACGTTTCATCACTTAGACTAAAGAAATAATATAAAGAATGGCGCGGTAGTTCATCTTCGTATGTATTCGCTTCTAATTGACTTGAAAATGAGTGTTGATGAGAAAAGGAAAGCAAACGAATGGTATACATAGACAGTCAACTGTACGACCGCACCTCCTTCTTTTTTTTCTCCTTACTTCCTAAAGCATATAACGTCTGCTTATCATCATTTTCTCTTCGTTTTTCTTTTCCTGGTTCCAATGGATGTATATCGAACGACAAAGCATCAGACCACAAGAAATATTGTATTGTATATATTGATGGAAAGAACGCCCACGATCCTGCTTGTCGAATTATCTTCAAGAGGTATAAGCCAGTCAGAGCGCATTGAGTATTATTCTTTGCTGTATATGTACAAGAGAAAAGATGCGAGAGAGAAGAAAAAAAATGGATAATACGAAGAAAAAAGGAAAAGAGAGAGAGAGAGACGGAGAAAAATGTACGTATATATAGAAGCCATCTGCCTTCCTAATTCTGGTTCGCCGAGCGCAAAAGGCAACAAGATAGATTTGTGTGGCATCATCCTTTGTTTGTGTGCTAAAAAGGTTCTATTCTGGTAAGTAACTAAAACGAGCAATTTTTGTTCTATGTATATTTGGCAAGAAAAATCCAGTACTAATAAATAAGAACTGTCGTATACTGACTAAAGCAGAAGAAAAACCTATATATGATACACTTGTCTCAGTTTTGCTTCACACATATATAGTTATATATATATATATTTATAGAAAACTTGGATAAATCTTTTTTTAACGGTTAGCCTTTAAGGCAAGGATGTTATTTCGATGAGAATGTCAAGGATTTATAATACATAATTTTGACATTCATTAATTTAAATAAGCTAATTAATAGTTTTCTTTTTTTTTTTAAAAAGAATAAAAAAAATTATTGGCTATGTGCCAAGAATAATTGAAATTTTAAATTCGGGTCGGAAACGGTTGTTTAAAATAGACACTCGTATTCGAGTATGTTACACAGCAACGGTACACCACCATTAAATAAGAACACGAACAACAACGGCGGTAGATCAACAAAAAAAATTATGGGTCGCAAAAAAATTAATATAACTCGTATTATTGACGAGCGTACTCGTCAAGTAACATTTACGAAAAGAAAATTCGGTTTAATGAAAAAAGCCTATGAACTATCAGTTTTATGTGGTTGTGAAATAGCATTAATGATATTTAATAGCAATGATCGCCTATTTCAATATGCATCATCTGATATGGATAAAGTCTTATTGAAATATGCTGATTATAACGAACCACATGAATCATGTACAAATGTCGATATAATCGATGTAAGCTGAAATAAATCTAATTAATTAATGGAGAAAAATAATTTTTTTTCTTATTAAAGATTTTAAATAAAAAAATAAAACCAACACAAGTGGCAACATCAACTAATAATGACGATAATGAAATCATGGAACAACATGATGATAATAGTGGCGAACAAACTGATAGTGGTATTAGTAGTACATTTACTAATGACATTGAACAAATGTTTGCTGAAACAGTCAATAATGTAAATGTTTTTTTTTTTAATTTTATTTAAAAAAAAAATTTCATCATTTCATTTAGTTTCTTATCAATAGCAATCTTAATTGTTCATCAACAAATGGACATGATATGACATTCCTTAATAATACAAATACAACAGTTCTACCGGATTTTCAATATTTAACATCGCCATCAGGTGAACAACAACAACAACAACAACAACAACAATTAACATCACAGGTACCACCACCAGCAACAACAACAACGAATCACATTCCCATTTATCCTATTCCGAAATCAGTTGATTGTAATCAATTTAACAATAACATTACCAATAATAATCATTCGAATACAAATCATGTAAAAAAAACAATGATTATAAGTTTGTTTTTTTTTTCATATGTAATTTATTTTAGATCAAGCAGCAACCATCAATGAACAGTTTTACAACTCAACAACCAACAACAAATATTGGCCGTATTATGACAGGTTTAATTCAATTCGAATAGAAAATAAAAACATTCTACTCATTTGATATTTTCTAGTTGGTCCAGATATGAGTGTTTCAGCTATTGACATAAGTGCACTGGCATCACAACTAACATCAAACTTTTTAGCATCATTAACTAATGCTGCCGTTGTAACAAATACTAATAATTCAACAGCAAATTTACCTATTAAGTAAGAATATAATTAGTGGTGGAGCCAGAATTTTGGGCTAGAGGGCGGCAAGGATCGGCTGAGCCCCTTTGGCCATCTCCCTAGCTCCTCCACTAAATATAACATCTCTCATGTTTAATCATTTGATTTCTGTTTTCTTTTTTTTTAAGTATAATAAGTCGTGATTGTCAAACAACAAATGTTGGTTCAGCCCAAACAATAATGTTAACGAATAGTCCGAATTCAATTATTCTTACTGGACAACAGCAACAACAACAACAAGGAATAAATCGAAATTTAATTAAACAAGAACCAATTCTTTATACAACAACAACAGCTGCAAATACTGGACGAAACGAGTTGTGCTATGAGCCAACGAGTGCTAAACAAACTCGTTTATGGCAATAATACATTTCCATCAAAATTGATTCCGTATAGACAAAAGACAATTTCCAAAGAAAAAAAAGTTTTTTTTTTGAAACAGAGTTCCTTTGTTCTTTCCTAATTCCGTAAACCGTTCCTTGTTTTGCTCTTATAAATATGACCTTAATTATACCTTGAATAATTTCTTGTTCTTTTTTTTTTTGCTTTTTATCTATTCCGACATATTATCTATTTTCATTTTTGTTTATTTCATCTTTGTGTTTTATGCATATAAGTTATATATATTTTAGCAAAAATTCAATTTTGGCTTTTTTTTTTTTGTTTAAAAGGAAGAACAAAATAGTTATACAAAATAGACATGATTAGATATGAAAGATGTATATATATATACAAAACTAAATCTGAATTTTAATCATCAATTGTATCTATATCAATGTTATCATCATATTCAAGTTCATTTAATTTAATTGTTGTTGCATGAATAACAGAAAAATTAAAAGATGTTTCATCTGTTTGAATATTATTATTATCACTAAGAAGTGCAATTGAACTATTCTTTTCAGTTACCATTGAATTATTATCATTCCTAAATAAAGAAACAAATTAGCCTATTTATATTTTATTTTTATCTTAAAAACTGTCAACATTCTAATTAATATTAGTTATTTTTTTTAATTATCCTGTTAACTAAGTAGAATCCAATAGTAATCAAAAAAAGTAACGTCATTGATTATTCCACGTATCTTAGATGTATATACTTCACAACCTTAACTAGTTGTACTAAAAAGTAAAATGATAAAATAAAATATTTTTTAATTTAAGTTGAATCTTTTTGACCATGGATAAGTCTTTTTTTGTAAAGACAAATATCGGGCATGACAAAAGTATTACCTGAAACTCAGTTCCAGCATATGATAAAACATCGATTCTTTTTTCTTCAAATGATATGCCATTGAATATTCTATTTATGCCACAAGACCAGATCTTTATAGCTATTTTCGCTACTACTAAACATGTGTCATCCTGTTATGCCTAGTACCCATTGGATTTGTTCTGAATCTGATGGACTCTAGTTGTTTAAGAAATGTGTAAGATGTTCTAGTCATCGAATATAAAAAGCCGGAACAAAATTATCTTGCATCTTTAGGGTAACTAGCTACTTCAGACTAGAAAATTTCATTGAGAGTATCAAAGTATGATTCGACCAGATCAGACAATTTTGAATCCGACGACCTGTACTTATTTTTTAGAAGAAGAAATCAGAAAAGTCTATTTCGTGATTGTTAATTAAGGTCATATTTTATTCAATCAATCTTAGATAAAATGGATTGTCCTAAACATTGAAAAAAAAAAATCAAAACACCCATCAATCCTTTGGACAAGGTCAATACTGATTTCTTTTCAATGTATTTTCACCATCATCATTTGAAGACAAGTTCTCATTATATTATTTTATTAAGCTTAATTCTTTTTTTAATATTTCTTTCAGCAGACAAGTAAGTTTAACAAAATTCAATAAATTTTGGTTTTCTTTTATTTTTATTTTAGGAAATAATGCGATAATGCATATGTTCTGTGTTAATAAAAATAGCTATTAAGATATGATCTTGCGATATAGATATATATAACATTCAATGGCGTATCTTGAAAACAAAACATTAATGTTTTAGCATATTGAGTGCAAAACTTTAACCGCATCGAGTATCTGTTGTTTATGGTATACTCAATATGATTGGCATTCGAAGAAGAGAATAATAGTAAATTGTATGATATTGCTATAATATTGAAAAATCAAAAAGTTTGGATATTGTGATTTACATAAATAATTAGTAGAAGAGTTTTAATATTAAAAAAATATTTTTTTTTGTCATGCCTAATTTTCTGGATTTTTAAAAATAAAATATGTCTTCTATGATCTTTTCTGTTCTATATAAATAATAAATACGCAATAATATTATTTCTTTTTTTTTTTCTTTTGATTTATTTATAAAGAAAAGTAATTGAGAAATATCATTAAAAGAAAAAAAAAATAAGAAACAACCCTTTTGGCAAGACAAAATAACAAATCTAAGAAGTGCATAGATTATGAGATTCGATATTTATTTTGTACTTCAGAAATGAATTCTTCTCATGAAATTTTCTAGTTTTTTTTAGTTTGTAATTTGTTTAAACTAACAAAGTGACAATAATAAGTTTAAATTTTATGTTCTTTAAAAAAGAGTATAATATAAACAATATCGATGTTTATGAGCTGCATAGAACTGAAGCAGTATATAGGTTGGTTTTGAACATTGTGATAATGAGTATACTGACAAAAATAAACTTCGTTTACTGTTTACTAGTGGTCTATTATTAAATGCGGTGGTGTATATGATATCAGAGTAATTATATTGAGTAGAAAGTAATTTTGTTCTTTTTCTTTTTCTTTTGAGAAGTAAGTCAATTAGTATTTTCTCATGGGTGTTAACTCGATGTAAACATACCATTTTTTTGTATATCGGTCAATAAAACCAATGTCCAGAATCGAACGATTTGTTGCATCTAAAATAAATTTTATTTTTACATATTTTCTCTAGTTTAGAAAATTACGGTCTAGAAATGAAAATTCACTTGTGTCTATCTCTTTACAACGTAGTTACCATATAATAGCTATAATAAAAAAAGAACTACGTAAAAGAACTACAAGGTCATATATACACTAAGCGTTGAATAAACTGAATAATAGTATGTTTTTGCAAGGAATGAGTGTTGTGTTAGAGAGTGAGTCTAAAATATGATTAGAATTAACTAAAACGAGATTATGTTTCGTAGGTTTTAAGGATAAAGTCTAGAAGCGAATATTCACCATGATCTACCTGTAACACTATTAAAAGGATCATGTAATAACTCTGATTGAAATCGTCGTGTCGAATAGTTTAAAATATTATCAAATTATTCAATACTGTTACATTGATCGTTTAATGATACATAAATGAATATATGATACCAATCTGTTAATTGCAAGAATAGGATCTAGAAACGAGAATTTTTCCATGCTTATCTATCTTTAACATGATTGTAAATGATTATGCCCTCTGGCATGATTGATATATCAATGCTGTATAAAATCAAACATCCGTGAGAGAATCTCACGCTTTTTACCATTCCATGGCTTAGGAGTTACTGAAAGAACACTGACAAGACGTATTAGTCCTGGTGAAATGCGTTCACCAAGCAAAATACGAAAGACGCGTGAGTAATGGTGCAGGGCATCACGAGATTGTCTTGCAGATCTCTGATATAATAAATACAAATAACTCTCATAGAATTGTAGAAAACTCGCATGTTTATTCAGTTCTATTAGCGCTATTTATATAATATCCATTCTCGAAATCAATTTTTATGATTTTCTATCATATATTCATATGTCTTGATGTGGAAGAGAATACGGTGGGTTAGTCATCCAGAATTTTTTACGTCGTGTCTGCAGAAATTTCAAGCTGTTCTCGGAAAATTGTCTGCCAAGTTTAAGAACGTAACTTCTTTCATATAAATTCTTCCAAGCGAACTGCTTCCAAGTGTTCGTCAAACTTTTGGCTTCTTCTACTCTCAAACATTATTGAGAATTCTGTATATATTTGCCATATGATCAATTGTGCCTATTACGTTCTTGAATATAGATCATTAGCTAAAGGAGAATATTTTCATATTTCTGTTCTATTAGACTCAGGTTCAGTAAATCTGTACACGATAGACGTTATTCTCTTACTTGTTGTTGAAGATTTTGAAATTTTTAGTAGAAATGCTTGATATGGTAAAACAGTCGAAAAATATTCTTCTTCTGAACAACCATAATCTATAAAACATAACACATACTTTTAATTGTAATTAACAAAAAAAAACGAAGAAAAAAAGAAACTAACATAGTTTATTTGTTGACAATAATGTTCGATTTTTTTGTATCTATAAGAAATTAATATTATTGTCTTAATTAAATAAATAAAATCACATACTCTTGTTCTAACATCATTATCTTGTGGTTTACGTAAAGGTTTGAAACCTCGGTTAATTGGAACGGAATTACATAAACGTACTGCTCGACAAGCTATACTTGACGATATTGATGAAAGTTGTAAACGTGACTAGAACGTAAAGTTTTATTTATATGAATATTGTATTTTTATGATTTTTACCTCCCATTCATTAAGAATATATTCAGTTAAACTAAGATGATCACATAATTGAGCTGCATCATCAATGGTCGAATAAAAATCAATATAATTTTCAAATAAAAAACCAATAAATGTCGGTGCTGATATATGACATTGTTCAATAAGATTCTAAAATATTCAAAACAAATCAATTATCAAGAAAAAAAAAGATATGCATTCATTTACTTCAGGTTGATTTTTTGTATTTTCGTCTGTTGAATTTTCTTCTGAATCTATAAAGAATATTTTGATTAATTTCAAATGAAAAAATGAAAAACCTTTTTTATATAAAATTCGACCAAGTCCTTGAAATAATGATAAACATGTGTCTTTTGAATTATATTTTCCTATTGAAGATTTGATTTTATTGTTACCTAAAAAAAGTTCATAAAATAATCTATGCTATTGATTCCTTCAGAATAGATCACATATATATATATACGTGACAATTTTGAATCAATTCGCCACTGACTTATGGATACTGTTTGAGTCTGCTTGAGAACACCGTTCATAAGGTAGCATTACTTCTCATCTTTATCTTTTACTTTTCTTTTCTTATAAATCATACCACGAGAGAACCGACCAGACTGCTAGTGAGCTGCGCAATTGAGATTTTTACATCTGCTCTTGACCTAGACCATCTTGTTTTACCTAGGAACTGAAACTTTTAGATCTACCAAAGCTTTTTTGTCGAGAAACAACTATTGTCTCTAGAACCGTGTTGGACGATCACCACTTTTATTCATTTAGAAAAATATCGATTTCTTGAATATGGTTTGCCCTAAACGTATGAGAAATTTATCATATCGCCTTACTGATATATGTTGTGTTTTGAAAAGTTACTTTCTACAGTTCAGATGTACAGATTTTGTTGATAATCTTTCTATAAAGGAGCACTTAACTCTTTTTTTTTCGTAGTAGTAAAAGTTCAGTTTGTTCAGAAGCAGCTGTATAGTCACAAATTGATGAGGGGTATCCACTGTAGTAAAAAGCAATGACATAGAACGGTGTGAAAAAGACACTTTTGTAATCCTCAATATATTTCGGATTTCTATATTTGCATTGCCTAACGTTTAGTTTTATAATATCTTTTAATCAATTTTTTTACGCCTGTAGTCTCCCAGAGCTAATGTAAAATACTCTATTTTCATCAAAAGCAGCCCTCCGTCCCGAAGAAATTAAGCTCTTTTTAAAATATATATTTACTAGAAAATTGTAATGTATTAATTGCTAAACGAAGATCACCATTTGCTGTTTGAATAATATCATGAATGCAATCACGTGATGGGGGTTTTAATTTCTATTAAAATTTTAAAAAAACAATCGAGATTGATAATTAACTTTATATAGAAATTTACTAATAAAGATGCTTGATGAATAATTAATTCAAGAGCTTTTTTCATATAAGTTGGTGCAATTGGATTAAAACTAGATGAAAATAAGAGAAATTAGGAGAAAAGATATTTTTGATCATCAATTTTTTTCGAGTTGTGATTTTTCAATATCTTTTATTGAGTGCTTCTAAACAATGCACATAACATGTCATTCACATTCAGAAATAAGTCTATTTTCAGAGATGAAACAGATTAATGTACAATCAAAACAGTTAGTGATAAGAGTTCGTGTATCTGCCGAGCAAGTACATATCTATTTTTATCTATGAAAATGTCAACTGTGAAGTCCGACTGGATTCTATTACGTCTAATCAATTCCCTTGACGATGTCAAACCTATTGCTAACCGTAGTGTGAGATGGATGAGGAGAAGATTCCGCCTCCATACAATTTGCTGTGAAATAAACAATATGAAATGAATGTTCGAAAATATTGATGATCAAAAACAATATCACTTAGAAATTTTTGTTTAAGAAGTTGTTTTTTTTCTTCTAATTGAAATCTAACCTGATCTGTTCAATTTTAAATTCATCAATAATTGATAATGAAAATAATACATTAGGATTATTAGATGTTGATAATGAACTATTATCAGTTATTATAAATATAATTGGATGATATGCTATACGTTTTAATTCTCTATATAAAGGAAAAACAAGAATTTTTATTGAATTTTTTTGTTTCTAATTTTATTATGTAATTCACCTTAAAATAGAATGAAATGATGTTATATCTGAGTAGAAACCATTTGGCAAATCCTAAAATAAATATTATATGTAAAAAAAATTAAATTCTTTAGTAATATTTGTCTTTTTTTGTCTTATCTTTAAACAACAACATAAAACTACTTAGAAAGCTATCTCTTCGTTTTTTTTTGTGCATCTACAAGTTTTATTATCTTATCAGTTTTCTATTTTACAGCTAAACAAGCTACAGATTCATATCATTTTTATTTTTTCATTTAAGCAAAGTAACAATGTATCGACTAAACGGAGTTGTTTTTCTTCTATTATTATTCGTTGCTAAATATCAAGCACAGGATCCAACACAACCTATCGATTGGAATGGTGACCCAAGACTATGTACAGTTAATCCACCAGCTACGCCTTCACCATTATCTCCACCACCAGTGCCAAAATTTCCAAATCAAGCTGAATTCGCTCTAGAACGTGTAGAAATTAAGCATGTAATAAATATCACATTTCCTAGTGAAATGACTATGATTCAATATCTTTATGATTATGACGCTAATAAATTAATCATGGTTAAAAATAAAAATGGCTTTGTTGATGCTGAATATTATTACTATGGTCCCAATAAGATATCAACTTATATTAGAGGAGACCTTTGTCGTGTAACAGATATTCCAACAAATGACGATATGAGTATGTATATATTAAAATTTTCACGATTTTTTTTTTCTAAAGTAGTTGTTTTATTTATTAGATGGTGCATCTGCAATACGATTACAAGACGGTAAATGGCATATTCGTCCGTTGAATGAATTTCTTTTATTTTCAAGTGATGATCCAAGTCGACGAGTTCCACCAGTATATCTTGGTACAGACATAGCACGTGGAATTCGAGTTCATAAGTGGCAAAGTTGTTATATCAATAAAACAGAGTATAAAACAATACGACGTATATGGTCATTTGCTCAAGACGGAGTTTCTATGCCAGGTGCAACTAACGCTTCATTTCCCGTTCCTATTCAAGCATTGATTAGCGCTTCATATGATTTTCCAAATGGCACACAAGCAGCTGAGGTCGATGAAGTATATAATGTTCTTGCATATCGATCAGGTATTATGGAATCCAGCAATGACTTATCACCACCAAAAGGTGTTTTTTGTGCTAGTGGTCCAGGTCAAAATTTAGTATCACTTAAAGATGCTGGTGTCGGTTGGCCAAATCATTTTAGTGTTCGTGTTGAAACTTCAACATCACGTTCATCACGATGGGAACGATTTCATTTACATTATGATCAAGGTCGTGAAGGTGCTTCAAGACGTTTACGTTATGATTATATGCCACCTGGTGCAGAAGATTTTCAATCCGTTATTCATGATTATACGGATAATATGACTTATATTATGGATCTTCGTGTTGGTTCGTGTAAAATTAATAATGGTGTAGAAATTCCTGATGTTAGTCCTGTTAGTGATCCAATACGATTTTTTGTTAAAAATGAAGCTCAGTTTATCTTTAATCCACCTGAAAATGCTTGGGAATTCAATGGATATCGACGTAAGAAAAAAAGAAACAAGAAAAAAATAGAATTTTTTACAATTTTTTTTCTTCGTCATTTTAGCATGTCGTGGCAATGCTATTAGATGTACAATATTAACAACATCATTAGATAACTTTCCTGCTATAGTTGAGCCAGATACCGGTATATCAGCAGGTGAAACATGGACCGCAACTAATGTTGAATATGGTTGGTCAGTTCGTGCACCATTTGCTGCTCCAGCACCTGATCAACCAAACAGATTTGATTATCCAGTAAGCTTATATTTAAAAATGTATCGATTTCGAGATCCAGTTAATCCAACACCAGATAGTCTTCTTACTGAAGATGTTGAATATGAATTTTATGAAATGTCTCATGATAGAAATCAATTTGATTTCGATATAAGTTTATGTTATCGTGCACTTAATTATGAATATCTACATCTAGTTTTTACATGTACTCTTAGTAGAGATGGTCTTATTGATAATAATAAATTAAACAGACGTCAATTAAACTTCCGAACACATGCCAATTTAGTAAGTGTAATGCAAATTAAATTTTCACGTATAACTGATGTAGAAATTGATCATGAAAGAGCTGATAATCGTGTACAAATCTTTTTTACTCTTCTTGGTCGAACACCAAGACCAGGATCACAATCAGGTTTTAATGATAATGAACCAACAGCTGCAGTAGCAAGTGAAACGTTAAGAACAGCTATTGATACTAGAAAATTTCAAATCGAGCTTACACTAGATGATAATTCTACTGTACAATTAATAGCAGATCCTGGTTCATTAAATTCTTCGAAACAATATATGTCAACTCATGCAATAGGAAAAGTTATTTACAATAAAAAATATACAGGTGGTTCACAAGCAACAGCTATTATTGTTGGATTACTTATTGGTATTATTGCAGGTATAATTATAATAGCAATTGTTCGAATTGTACGAAAAGAACCAATGCCTTCTGTACTAACGTCAATAACAAATCCTTTGTCAAGCATTTCTTCTAAAGCAAGAACTTCAAACGTTCCTCCATCAGATACAGCAAATGCTTAAGAAGAATATTTATATTATAAAGACAGACATTTTTCTTTTTATTTCTAATTTTTTTTATACTCTATAACCCATATATAGTTTGAATTTATTCTTTTTTTTCTTTTTGTTTTGTTCGATTAATAAATATATTGACTTACTTCAATTAATACTAATTGTTTAGTTGATGATGATTGCGATTTAATTGATTGTTCATTATCATTTTCAAATATTAAACCATTGCTAGCATTACCTGTTGATGATGATAAATAACGAGTTGATTGAAATACAAAAGTACGAAATGAACGTTTTTGAGATTCAACCCATTGACGATCATCTAAATTTCAATTGATAAGAAATGTTTAGCGATATAAAAAAAAAGCTCAAGAAAAATAAAAGATTTCTATATCTATTATATGATTTCAAAAGAAAACTTAATTATATTTATTCAAAACTTTCTAAATTAAGTACTAATAAAAAAATCTATTTTAAATTATTTAATAATGTAAATAACTGAAAAGTTTATTAATTATTATATATTTATAAAGAAAAAATTCCTTGAAAAGCAGGAAAACACTCGAGCAAAGTGACGAATATGTCTGTGACAGTTCATACTTCTGTAAACCAATTCTTTTTCGAGAACTGTATCAAATGACTAATTCTTTTCATATGAACTATGTCTACTGATAAGGATAATGCAGTAATTCTGTTGAATAACTGTTTTACTTGTCAAGAAAAAACGAACTGATTACACTATTCAATTCGCAAAATGGAACAGAGTTCGTATAAGTTGAACCTGTCACACATCAAGAACTGAACAGTTCAACTCTTTTGAGATGAACTTGTTGGGTCGTTATTAATTTGTTTATGAGAATGACTTCACAAAGAAAAAAAAACATTAATGTTCGTTTTTGCATTCAGTTTTTCACAAGCTGTAAAGCTTGAATTTTCTTAATCAAGAGAGAAAATCTCGTCATCTGTTCCTTTCCAATTTCAATGACTTTTTTGTCTATAGATACTATATAGTGTTCTAATAAAAATTCTAAAAGGATATAGGTTTCTATTGATATTTGAGTCGTTTTCTGAAACCCCAGATTTTGATTTGAAACTTTGTGCATATATAAAGTGCTTAACTAGAATAGCTTACTATAAAAAATTCAAAAATCTTTGAAAAGTCTTTTCCAGATATGAACCCTTTATGAAATGAATGTTGAATACATTGTTCATGAAAAAGGATCTATATCTTGAAAGTCTCATATGGAGAAAAGATTTTGCTTAAAGTCTCTGAATTTTTTCACGAAACTTAGTCTAAGCAAGTTTACTATATGTGCAAAATTTCAAATAGAAATTCGATAGCATAGTCAAATAACGAGCGATGTAAAAGTTTCTGAAAAATAAAAATTACCTATCCAAAATCTATGCTAAAAGTGTTATTTAACTGAATGTTCAAAAAATTTCTAGAAGGTCTTGTCTTCGAGTGTCAACTACGTTCTTAGATGGCACTGTAATGTACTACAGCTGTAAAAAGCAACTCACAATGAATGTGGCAGAAGGACTCGATGCTTAAGCAATGCCATAGATAGGTTCGTAGAGAATTAAACGACGAATGTAATGGGAAAAAAGAGCAACAATATATGATGGAACGCATAGGAAATATTCGAAAAACACTGAAATACCGAATCCTTTTGCCACAATTATTATAAGTTGTTGTTTAAAGAGCACATTTTAGTGTTATTTAAAGACGTGGTCGTTAATCAAAAACAAAACATCATAGAGATTTTTTGAACATATAGTTAGAAAACGCTTTCGACGTAGCTTCTTAATAGGTATTTTGTATTTTTACAAAAATATGTTGTAGCCGTTGAAAACTGAAACAACATTTTCCCAGGAACTCTTGCATCACCTGTTATCAATAGGAATCTAAATATCTGTTTTATTAGAGCATAATATACTATCTATCGACAAAAAAAAAATCGTTGAAACTAGAAGGGGCAATCAAAGACGTTCCAATGTCAGCCTTTTCAGACAACGATCCAAACTTAAATATGATCTTTAATAAAACATTTAGTGATATAAGTTTAGCTCAAGTTATAAAGCAGTATGAACGAAAAGAAGAGAATGAATCTGATAGTTATACAAGATAAAAGAATAATAAAATATCTATGTCTAATGGATCTTCTATTATTAAAGTAATAGATATTATAGAAGAACTGACCTCGTTTTTCATCTAGTACGGTACTTGTTAAAGCTGATGTTGTTCGAGTTTCCCATTCAACAATATTTATATTCAATGAAGCAGCTAATATTCGTAAACATGTTGATTTTCCAGAACCAGATGGACCAGAAATAAGTATTAATTTAGATGATTGCTGAATAGAAAAAAAAACGCATCCTTTTCTTTTTCAATAGACAATAATAATCAATTATCATTTACTTTATTTGTTTTAACAATTTCACATGATCTTTGAAGTATATCTTCAAGTTCTTTAATTTTTCTTGGATGAAGAATAAGATCATGACGTGTTTTAGGTTGAAATAATGTTGTCCAAAGTTCATCATTTTGTTGATTAATTTTTTTTGCCATTATTGAACGTGCTGTTGTTGATGATGTTGATGAAGATTGTTGTGATGATAATTTTGATATAAATGTTTTTGGAATTTTTATTTCTGTATTTGTTGTTGTTAATGTTGGTGATGGTGGAACATCATCAAATTGTTCAAATATATTACGATAAGATGAAGAATCAAGAGACATTCCAGATGTTTTAAAACGTTTTATTGGCTGTTCAGATCGGATATTAAGATCCGAAAAGGAAGGTATTCGACGAGACATTTGCCTAGTCGATATTATACATAAGAATAAAAAAAGAAAAAGAAAATCTAAAGATAATTGAATTGAAAAATATTCATTGTTGTTTGCTGAAGTGAATCTTCACAATATAGTTGTGCAATTTTTTCTTTTTATAATTTATTCAACAATTTTATCTATTTCAAAGCAATATATTTCAAAATTCTTCTAAATTTTTTACTAACTAAAATTTAAAAAACAAAATTAAAATAAAGAAATTATTTTCATTCATTTTCGTATATTTCGGAAAAACGTCTTCATTATTTCTTAGCGCTATATTCTATTTATTCATTGACATTGTATGTAGCACCATCAGTTAGATCCAAAATATTCGTTGGCTAAATCTAAGTCACAACAATGTGTCGATCAAGAAAAGTAAGAGAGTTTTTTTTTTCTTTTGTTTACATTAGAATTTTAAATAATATCGCATTGATTGCATATATATTCTTAAACCAAAGATTGATAATGATGAGTAGTGATGAAAAGATCCCTATGGAATAATGAAGTGCATTTGTAGGCATACACAAGAGAGAAGAAAAAGGAGAAGAAGAAGAAAAAAACAAATTTGATCAAATTTACTCTTCTCTTTCGATGATCTGCATATTGATAGAAAGAAAAAAAAGAAGAACTCGCCGTTGTCGAAGCATCTTCGAAGAAGAGCACTTGATTAGTTAGTTAGTTTCTAATATTGATGTTGTTGTTTTCTATGTTCTAATCAAATAATGTTTTTTTTTTCTTATAACTGATTATTACTAGTCTCGGAAAAGACGCCTAGATTTTTCAATCAATCTCCAGCCAATCTCGCATCATTGCTTTCGTTTTTTTATGCAAATTTACCAAGATCAGCAGAGAAAAAAAAAAGTTGATTTATAATATATATATTATATTTAGTTTTCTTTTTTTTTCTGTGTGTGTTTCTATTACTCGTATGCTAATTTGAACTCTTGAGCTTGACGAATATACAATGAAAGATACTGACTTCTTAATAATCGTAAATTGTTGTTATATGTAGAGAGAAAAAAAGAGCGAAAGAGAAAGGATTGTTTGCTCCGATTTCCCTTTTTTTTAGTAGGGAAAGAGAGAAAAGAACATTCGATGACTATTAGCCGTTTTCATCTATTTCCTGAGCGGAATAAAAAGAAAAAAAAAACATTGATCTGTGTAACAAATAACAGATCATGATCAGAGAAATGCATATAAAAGCTAATCATGAATTAGAAAAATCAGTAAATAATTATCGTTTAAAATATGTTCATCATTTAAAGTATTGGAAGAATATTCGAAAAACAAACTATTGGATTACATTTGAAAATCCTCTATTTGAGAATTATGGTAAAGTCTAATTGTCTTATTAAATAAAACAAGAAAAAAATTCACTCTCACTTTTTCTTTTGATTTTATTAATCAAATTATTTTTTCTTTTTTTTCAGTTAGTATGACCAGTGAATATCATTTTAACTCGTAAGATATAATAATTTTTTTTGGTCTTAAATAAATATTAATTATTTTGTTTTACTTATTTAATAGAAATTCAATTCTTTCCGAAAATATTTCATCACCAACTGAATCAACAGATAGTGGAATACAAATATCTATAGAACGAACAATAGCAGTTCGTGTTCATTTCTTTTATTTTATGTAAATTAAAGATTAATTTTAGATGGATGATGATATTGGCCTTCCATTAGGTTGGGAACGTTTTGAAGGTAAAACTTTATAATTCTATAATGTTTCAAATGCTTAAAAAAAAAAATCTTTTTTTTTTCTTCAGATGAACAAGGTGTTTATTATTGGCATAAACTTACTGGTACTGTAACACGTGATCGACCACAATCAATGATTAATTCTCCATCATTAACACTTTCATCATCATCGAATGATACATGTTTTGAAATAAATTCCTTATTAAATAAAAGTGAATCTGATAATTCCATACGAGTAAATTGATTTTGCTTATATATATATATATAAATATGTTTTCAACATTTTTTCTCCTTGTAATAAATATTTTTTGTTTCTTAGACATTAGATAATAATTCTGAGCAACATCGTTTTTATGTACGTTCACTTGGTTGGATAATAATCAATGAAGAAGATTTAACAAATGAAAAAACTAGTCGTACTGTGAATCGTTGTATTTATGAATTAACACATGGTATTAATGATTCAATTAGTC